GATCCTCTTCTAAATTTAAAATAATCGGTATTTTATTTAATACTTCATCTCTACTTCCTTCTACCAAAAAGACTAGTGCTTGAGAAGAAATAAAATCAGAACCTATATTTTTTTCTTTTCTAACTCTTTGACTTTTCCTTGGTTCTACGAGAGATTCAATTGCCTTTCTTTTATTGTTAGAAGAAGAACTAGGTTCTGCACTATTTTCTTGAGTTACTGGATTATCACCAATGCTTGCTGCATTACCATCTTGTTTAGTGGTTTCTGTATCCTCATGTGAATTATTAGAATCACCAATAAGCTTTGTTTCCAAGAACTCAACATCTTTAGATTCCACAATATACTTAGACTCAATGTCCAATAATCTGTATGCCTTTGAGTTCTCAGCATATCCTATAAGCTTTTAATTCTTCTAGGTCCTAACTTAGTCCTTTTAGGATCTCGAATTCTATAATAGGTTAAACAACCCCATACCCTTAAGAAATTTTTCCTTTCCATGATTCATATGGTGAACCTTAAAATTCTTTGAAGGTACTCTATCATGCACAAAACAAGCCGTTAACAAAGCCCTCCCCCCCCCCCCCAAATTCGTTGGTAATTTTGCATGTAAAAGCATTGCATTAACCATATCTACCAATGTTCTATTTTTTCTTTCAGCAAGACCATTGTGTTGTGGGGTATACGGTGCACTAACTTGGTGAATCAAACCATTTTCTTCACAAAATACAGAAAATTCATTGAAAAGATATTCACCTCCTCAATCACTACGTAGGATTTTAATCTTCTTTTTCAATTGATTTTCAACTAATGCTTTGTAACTCTTAAACATATCAAGTGATTGATCTTTTGTTTTCATTAAGTAAACATGTGTATATCTAGAATGATCATCTATAAAAGTAATAAAGTATCTATTTCCACCTCTAGTTAAATGACCATTCAATTCACATATATCGGAATGCACAAGTTCAAGTAGATTACTTGTTCTTTCATTCTTTGGAAAAGATTTCTTAGTCATCTTAGCTTGTATGCGTATTTCACATTTTTATCATTATTCTCAACAACAGGAATTAATTTATTTTTAGACATAAACTTAACATATCGAAAAATAACATGTGAAAGTCTAGCATGCCATAAATTAATAGATGAGTCAACCATATAAGCAGAAACTTCAACTTTTTAAATAATTAATTTGAACATGCCTTCACAAGGGTAGTCATGTCCTACAAATACGTCATTCTTAGAGAAAATAATCTTTCTGCCTCTATAACAGTTTTGTGGCATTTCTTACTTAATAAACTTGCAGAAATTAAATTCTTTCTAACATCAAGTACATGATGAACATTAATAAAAATCAACTTCTTTTCCGAAGTGAATTGTACGTAGCTCAACTGTTCCTTTTCCAAAGACCTTGCGTTGTCATGATTTCCCATTAACCTTTTCATCACTTGTTGCAACTTCATAATGTTTGAAGAAACTCTTGTCATTGCATACATGAACTGTAGCACCGGAATCATACCACCAAACTGCAGGTTTCATAGTTGCTGCCATGTTACATTCGGTCACCATACTCAGATTCAAGTTGGTAAAGGCAGAAATCATAGCAACAATATCCGAAGAAGAAGCTTGTTGCTGTTCAATATTATTTACCCTCTTCTGTCCAGCATTTTCTTCATTTTTCTGTCTCTTACGAAACCTGCCATCTCTCTTAAAATGGCCCATTTTTCCGCAAGTATAACACAGACCTTTCTTAATGTTAGAAGAATTTTCCTTCGGAGCAACCTCAAACTTTCTCTTCTTTCCAGCCTTGTTTCCAGATTTTTCTGAATTGTTTGCCTTACTAGACTCAACATAATTCATCTTTGAACTAGTTTCCGCATCATATTTATTTTCACGTTTTTGTGACTCTTCTTCAATACGAATATGCTTTGTCAATTGGTCCACATTAAAGTCTTCAGAAGAATGTAATAATTTCTTCCAATAGTCATTTCAAGTGGCTGGTAATTTTGCAAGTACAACATCCACTTGAAAAGATTCAGAAACGTCGACTTTAAAATCTTTGAGTCTAGATATCAAGACAAGTAACTCATCAACCTGTTCCATGATAGATTTTCCATCTCTCATTTGAAATTAAAAAAATTTTAGTCCAAGGAATATGTCCGTTCCTTGTTTCACAGCAGTATATTTCTGTTCCAAAGCTTTCCAGATTTCTTGTGGTGATTTGTGAGGACGAAACAAATCATATACACGATCAGAAAGTGAGTTTAAAATAAAACCTTTACAGCCCACCTCATCATCTTCAAGTTTTTTGCGTGCCGCCTTAATTTCGTTAGAATCTTGAGCAGTAGGTTCTGGCATTGCAGTAAGATCAGAACTCAGCAGATATGCTATTCCCAACTCCGTGAGAAAAACAGCAATTTGTCTTTCCGGCGGATGAAATTCGATCCATCAAATCGATCCAGTTTGAACACTTTGAACATCTTGTTGTAACCAGAATCACCACCAGAAGCCTCCTTTACAGTGTTGATTAAATTCCTAAATATTGTTAGAGAAATAACAGAATATGGGACGAAATAATTAGGCCTTGATAGTGTAGTCACTGTCCTTAAGTAATTTAAGCCTCCCAATTTCGTTGCTGCAGGGATTATGGCAGAATTCCTCCAGGATTCTACAAAGCCTCTGAAATTCGAGTTTCAGCAATTAACTCGAATTTTCCACAAGAACAGAATAGCTGTGAGTTGTAGAAAATAAGTAGAAGAGAAAGAGATGGAAGTTTCAGATGATTTCGTTTTGGAGATGATATAGGTATTTATAATACCTCTAGGAGTCTGTTGGAATTAACAGACTCATCTCTTCATAACTGGCACCTTTTAAAACCAATAGTCACCTTCTTTTGAATTTAAAAAAATATTAAAAACGTTTTCTGAAATTAAAAGGCTAAAATATTTTAATTAATCAAATAATGAGTGATTAAAATATTAATTCGAGCTACTTAATTGGCCCAAAGCCCAATTGCCCCAATCTTGCAATATAGTCAAATTTCAATTCCCTCCAAAATACCCTCAAAATATTCAAATTATATAAGACAAAGAAGTGCTTTTAAACACCTCTTCATTTCTTTCTTTTTCCAATGAGGGACAAAACAACCTCTTCTCAAATACTCTCATTAAACACTAACTAATCTAACATTATCAGCCTAGCCCTGCCCCCGGTACAACGTCAAAAAATGCTCGATTCCCTCCTAACCTACAACCATAATGCTCGAGCTCCACATCTTCCTATCAAGAGACATATCCTCGGAGATCTAAAGTCGCGCCATGTCATTTCAAATCACCTCACTCCAAAACTTCTTAGGCCGCCATCTACTTCTCCGCATACCTGCCAATGTCAACTGCTCACACCTCCTAACCAGGTCATCTATGCTTCTCCTCCGCACGTGTCTTAACCATCTAAGCTTCGCTTCCCGCATCTTGTCATCCATGGGAGCCACGCCCATCTTCTCCCGAATATCTTCATTTGCTAATCTTATCCAGCCTAGTGTGCCCGCACATCTATCTCATATCCTTATTTCCGCCACTTTCAACTTCTGGGTATGAGAATTCTTGGCTGCCCAACGCTCAGCCCAATACAGCATGACGGGTCTAACTACCACTCTATAGAACTTGCCTTTAAATTTCATTGCATTTTCTTGTCACACAGGACTCCAGATGCTAACCTCCATTTCATGCTTCAGAAAATAGTTAATGACTTGGGTTTGAGGCTTGTTTTCAATCCAATTAACTACCGAAATGCCCTAAGATTAATTCTTAGTCTGGAAAATAGGATGTTTGGTTTGGCTCAAAATTCCTATGATAAAGTTGAAGAACCACTTTAACTCAAACTGTCTATATTCCCCATGGTAATATGACAATGTTAAATATGAATAACAATAGTTCATAAAATTAAATGAGTAACCAAAAATATTGAGTTAAAGACTAAAAATCAAGGGTTAGAGGCTGACAACTTTATAAGGGTACGAACCCTTTGAAAACATGAGAATAATAGAGTTTAACCAAAATATCTACACTACGAATCTTTTAGGAAACATTTCATGGCTATCATCAAAAAGGCATGAAACTTAAATTGTACTGATAATAATTCAATATGGAGGCATCCAAATTTGAAGGCAACCCTCTCAAAATTCAATTTTTAGGAGCCGTGCAAGGGCCACTAAGACCAAAAGCAATAAAAAGAAGCACAAACGTAAAGAAAAAATTATATAACCAGGCTGGAATTAGTATAAAGTTGGTCCAATGGGAAAGTGATTGAAACTGATGTATCATCTATGAAATAAATACTCCAGATTCTGTCTCAACCAAATGGACATCTTCATTTGTTTTGTAATATGCAAAATCACACGCTTAAAAGAAGCAGACCATGCACAAAGCAATCCGCGTTCACGCACGTTCTGAGAAAAGGCCGCATTCCGAATAGGTATAATGTAGGCAGCCTCTCCTATTGCAAGCATCATCGGTTGATTCCACGTCTTGAACCCGTGACTTATAGGCAAAAACCCATGCTTAAGAAAAGTAGAAATTAGAAAATGAAAGCCCACAATGAACTGGAATTATCTTATCAATTGTAACAACTCACCAACCAACATGCCTCCTACCAACTTGTAAGAAAAAATTGCTTGATTGACAAAACTATTCAGACAATATCACATGTTTGATAAAACCAATTTCTTGAAATCATTAGCCATTGAAATGAGCCTGAAGCAACAATCAAGCTGTCTATGTGTGACCTATAGATCACGAGTTCGAGCGGTAAAATCAACCATTAATGATTGCATTAGGGTAGGCGGCCTATATCATATCCCTTGGGATGCGACCCTTCCTCAGATCCTGCGTGAACGCAAAATGCTTGGTGCACCGGGCTGCCCTTGAATACTAGAAATAGGCAATCTTAAGTCTAATAGTTGGACAAACTATGCCCAAAAAGCTGAAAAATATTACAGCAGTAAATAAAGGAACAAATCTTAACCGGGATACTTGGTCATTTTGATATCTTCAGTACAAGATTGATTGGCAAAGGAGCATTAGGAGAAAAAAGGGAAATAGCTCACTTCTGGAATTAAAAATAGCATATCCTAGTTTACATATTACATGGCAGGCAGTGTTGGATTCATAAGAGTTGTTCCAAGAAGGCCATTGCAAAGACTGGAACCTTCGTTAGTCTTACTGTTTTCTGCTCTCGGACTGCTACCTGCGCTGCTGTTAGAAAGGGAACCGAACGAGGACTTCTGTAAGACCCCGGTTGGTGATGATCCCATCCGGGGGCTTCTATCCCACCCCTCGGTCATGAGATTAAGAGCTGCTGTTTTGCTCTTGCAATCACCCGAGCTGTTATTAGTGCTATGCAAGACCTCACCGAGGGGACCACCCATGGAAGTTTCCCAAGTTATAGGAATCCAATTTCCTTGTCTTTGGTTATGCTCACTGATGATGGTGCCAATGCCTAATCCCATTTGAGTTGTTGTCTCGTGCTCCTGTGACATCCTGTACTGTGGTGAGGTTGTGAGTTTGTCGTTCGCAGGAGATGAAGTGGAAGACATGAAGTCTGAAGTGATCACAGGGATGGAAATGGAGAGCTGAGTCCTATCTGACTGCAAATCAATGTCTGGCCAAGAAACTGTGGATTGATCAGACTGGTTTTTGGGCCAATCGTCCATGAACTGTCGAAGTGGATGATGCTGTGATTTGCTTTCTTGATCTCTGATATCTTCTGAATTTCCATAGCCACGGCAATTCACTAGCGAAGAGTTCTTATTTAGTGGATTGATCAAAGAGTCAGCACAAACTAATCCAAATTCAGGCCTAGAAGTTACTCCATAAGGATTCTGCTCTTTCTGAATTGAATATTGGCTCTGTTTCTCACTTGAAGAAACAACTGTAAGGCCTTTTGTATCTGAATACCTTTCACCAAAATTTTCCTTGGGCGTATAATTCCTGCCAGTAAAATATATTAAAATTAGATCAATGCATCGTGGAAACTACTGCTTGCCGTTAAAGTCATTTTTATAAGCAGAAAGAGATACATATAACAGAATAAACTCTGAAATGTACCTCTCAAGATAAGGGGAAGTAGTGGAGGGATTAGTAACAGCAGGCGGCAAATTGCTGAGTTGGGGATGTGAGAGAGCTAGAGTGTTGGATGCAGCGCCTCCGGGAGCCAATGCTGCTGATGCTGATGCTGATGCTGAAGAAGAAACATTCATCAGCTTGGCGGAAGTAGCACCAGTTTGTCCTTCCACAGGCTTTCTTGAACGATGGCGGCCTCTGTTCATGTGCCGCTCACAATACTTTTGATCGGCAACTGCATCTCTTGAGCACCGCCATTTCTTCCCATCTGTTCTCCTACACCTTCCTGGCTCTGGATCGTTACTGTTGGAGAATCCTAGATGGAATGCACCCCATCCCACTGCCAAAAGTTAACCACAAAACACATCATCCACTACTCTAAAACAGACTCGTAAGTGCTAAAAACCATTGTGCTCTCTAGAATTTTTTTTTATCTTTTGGGGGAAGTTGGGATCCCTTAACCAGTATTTTCCAGTTGCCTCAGGCAGTGGCGGAACTAGCTTAGACCCCCTTCGCTGAAAATTTTACTGTGTAAATAGGTAAAATCAAATTATTTTGGATATATATAAGCTCTTGAATCCCCTTGATATGAGGAAAAATTCTAGCAAAATGGCAAAGGGGGGTTCAAAAATTGCTTTAGATAACCGGCTTAAATCTATGTTTGACCTTTTTTTGATCCACTTGTATAAAATTCTGGGTCCGCCAAAGGCCTCATGATCATGGAAAGAAAATAAAACCTGCCCTTATGCAGAATGATTACTGAAGGCAGCATATTTCTGAAAAATAAATTCATTCCATATTACTTTAGAATAAGAAACAAGAAAATATGACTTGGGAAACTTCTTGAGCCATAGATTTAGATACATTATTGTGTAGATCTCACATTTTAACTACAAATAGGGAAAGAGCTGAATCCTAATGTATTTATTTCTAACTTTTTCAGCAAGATGATAAGTAGAAGTAAAAGCAAAGACTTACAAACATTGGGTCTAAGGCCTGCAAAAGTTGTGAAGCCAGCAGATTCAAGGGCTTTTCTAATGGGGTTGAGGAGATAAGGAGGTATTGGAACATTTGCAGTGATATACTTGTAGATCAAAGCCTGGTGTTCCAACTCCATCCACTGTGATGGAGTAAATGGCCCTTTTACCCCTGCTGCTATTACCCCATGCATGTTTCCAGCATTCATAGCTCCACTGCCACAGCCTGAGCAACAAAGAAAGATCACAACTTTGAGAATTAGAACTGATTTTTACCAAATAAAATGACTAGAGAATGAAAAGATTTTCCCTGCTAAATCAAAATAACATGGCTTTTGTCTGCTCAACAAATGTGAAAGAAGAAAATAGACTGTTGAAAGATGCTTTGACAGGATACCTAATACTCCTAGAAAGCATTGTGTCTTGAAAAATTAAAGAGGGTACAAAACATTTTAGATATTTGCAATACCAAGGAAACACAACAAAGGAAGGGGAGAAAATCAAAATTCAGAGACCTATCAATGAAAGAAGGAAATGTCCTCAACTCTTTTAGACCTTTCATCTGATTATGCCTTTGAAAACCAACATTGCCACACACTCATTACCAAAAATAGGAAAGATAGAAACCATATAGTACTAAAGATGCCATCTTTTCTCTCTTTTATGGGTGGGTGGGTTGGTTACAAGAACATCAAAATTGAAAAAAAAAAAAACAGTAGCACATACATACATGAGAAGACTCCCTTCCCTGTGTTTGTAAACAAAAAAACTATATGCATTGCTACCAAAAATCCAGCAGTTTATACAAAACCAACAAGCAGATAAAGATAACAAACATATTGCACCAAAAAAACTCAATCTTGATTCCAAGACAAGAAACCTATTCATTGACACATCACTTCCAAAATTAAGAACTTTTTTTTTGTTTTTTCTTTAACAATTTATGTACCTGAAGAGTTCCTAGTAAAAGGAGTTGAAGTGTAATGATAAAAAGGCATTGTCACATTCTGAGAGTTGGGTGAAGAAAAGCTAAGCATTTGCTGGCTGTTAGTACAATTACTTCTAAGTTGTTGCTGAAACAGCATTGTAGCTGCTGCTGCTGCTGCTGCTGCTTTAGAGGAAGAGAAACCATCACTAGTCTTAGCTAATTTAGTGTCCTTATTATTCCAGTCATCTTCAGTAGCAGTATTAGTAGTGGAAGATCTTTCATTCTTGTGAAATCCAGTAGATCCGTACCACTTTTGCTTGGTCTCAACAGCTGTAGTAAACATATTACTACTTGTATTGTCTGAACAAATCACCCCACCATTATCTAAACTCCCCACCACCCCAAAATCCATCTAACAAAAACTAAAGTTCACTCTTTTAACAAGAAGTTGTATAGCTAAAAAATGGAGCATTTGAGGGGTCAGTTTGAGAGCAAGAAACAGACAGAAGGAGCTTGGTTTTTGCTGTAGGAGAAGCAAGGACCATTTTAAAAGAGTTGGGTTTTTTGTTTTTTGTTTTAAAAATGTGTTTTTTGGGGAGTTGTGGGAAGTGTTGGGAATTAGTATAGCAGAATAGGGGAGCTATATATGAGCTATATATGTAGTTAAGCAGACCTCAAAAAGAGAAAGACACACTGGTTTTCTCGTTTAGGAGTTAATGTTTTGGTGAAAGGGAAAATAATTGGAGAGAGAGAGAGAGAGAGGCAAATACCTGTACCGTATGTGCTGTTATTATAGTCTTGTTTATATTTCGGACATAAAACCGCCTAATCCCAGGGTCGGTTCTTGTTATCTTTTCTTTTTTTCTTTTTTCTTTTTTGTAGCAAAGATAAAAGAGATAGCAATCTCACACTAACTTTATAAAAAATAAGTAAAAAACATACTCGCTTTGATATAATGAATATATATATTAATTATATACTTTATTAAATATTTATAAATCATATACCCGCCATATGAACTTTTGTTAGGGCTGGTTTTTGTAATATCAATTCATTCACTTGTCAAGATATTACAGAGGCAAGTGGTTCAATTGAACCCGGTATACTACTCTACATCCGCCTCTCCCAAGGAGGACCGAAGGAGTTTTTCGTTTATTGTTGAAATGTATATTTTCGTATTAGTTCGTTATAGAAAATAATATATTTTTATATTCAAAACAAATTTAAACAATGTATGACAATTTACGATAATAAATTTAGAAAGTTTTATACTTTTACATTGATATTAATTATTATGCGTTTAATGTTACAAATTTAAAACTTCATATAAAAATAAATTCATATTGCGTCAAAATTATTTTACATAAATTGAAAACATAAGTGAGGGGCGGGGGGGAGGGGGGTGGGGTTTCCTTGCAAAGTCCGCTTGTGGTTTCAAGGTGTGGGACTCTCTTTCTCTTTCCATATTAATAAGTATAGTTAGGAGAAGCCAATGGAGTGGTGGGCTGCATGAACAAAAGTATGCACAACCACGTGACAACATCGACTACATATATACTATAAATAAAATCCTATATATATCAATAATATTTACTTTTCTTTTTTCCATTGCTTTGTCCTACTCTCACCCTTCTTTCCTACGCACCAACAAATCACGCGTGCCCTTTCGCTATATGCTAAAATTATTGGGAAAGAAAATATTTTTGTTGTCAATTAGAAACGCCATTAATCTTTCTAATGGAAACAAATCTTGTTTTCAGATTTAACAAAGATTCCCTTCTCTTTTTCCTTCTTTCTATTTTCTGTTTTGTTCTTCACTTTGTTTTTTCCCTTCAATTTAAGGATCCGTTTGTCCATCAAAAAAAAAACTTTTTTCCTATTTTTTTTAAAAAAATAGTATTTATTTACAAAATTCAAGTTATTTGAGATTTTTCTAAAATGAATTTTTTAAAAATCAAAAGTAATTTTGATCACTTTTTAAAAAAATTCAGAAAAATCTTTTTCCACACTCACAATTTGTAATAAATATTAATATTAAATTCAATTCAGTTATCCAATTTTCAATTTTATGTTGTTGTAACAGAAAAACTACCCTTCAATTTTCCCTCTTTATTGTTGAGTAAATAGCCATTTATGTTATGGCATTTATGTTGTGGCCGTTTTGCAAAAACAACCATTCTGAAGAGTTGCACCTCTTCAGATTTCAGCCCAACTTTGGCTATAAATACAAGACTATTCTGCTCAGAATTTCCATACGATTTTATGTGTTTCTCCTCCTTATGCATAGTTTAAACATCAAACAAAGCAACAGTAAGTGTGATTTGCTACCGAACTTTGTGTTCGATGAACCACTGGGGTTTGAAGTACCACTACACCAGTGTGTAATTCGTTCTATCCTGGGAGGAAATAATTCATAACCTTGAGTACTAGGAGGGGATTAAATTCCCTAAGGAAACACTGTGAATTCAGTGGGCTCGAATTGGTCTTTGTTACTTCGTTTACATTTCTGTTTATTATTATTTTATTTTCTCTAGAGTTGTTTTACAAATGCAGATAACAAGCTTAACAACTATTACTAAGTTAAGGTTATATTGATGGTAATAATAAAGTACTTGAACAAGATATATAGAGAGTACTCATATAACAGTCGGCCACATACTAGCTCGATTAATTTGGATTTACCAAGAATTTTTTTTTAGAATACAAATTCGAATTTTTAATTAAAGAAGGAGAGATTTCAACTATTCTATCACACTCCTTGATGGGTAAACTCGTAATCTTACTTAATCAAATTATCTTGTTATGATTGTACCTCTGAAGTATTGCGTTCCAACTTCTAAGCTATAAGATATAAGGAGAGACAAAAATTAAAAATTGCGATCGACATCAACTGGACATGCTAAAATCCATAAGAAAGAAAAAAAGATTATTCCTTATGGTAATAAATGTTCCTCTTTTGTAGGTATTGTTAATAAATTACCGTCAATTACAAGAGACTCAAGTTGAAGAAGAGTGTACTAGTTTCATACAATTTGTCTAGTCTTTTATTCAAGTGTAATTTAAGAATTGTACCATATGACCATCTTTTTCATACTTAACAACAATTAATCAATTAGTACCTACTTGCTTGAAAAGGTATACGTAGGAATTTATTGCGACTCTATTATGAATATCGTTTAATGAATTGTAATAATCAAAGCATACCAAAAATTTATTCTATTGAATGAGTAGTTTAATTCACTTCGGATTTGCCCCCTTTGATGTTTTATAAATTCTCCATGTACATCTAGGGTCAGAGGCGGACATATGCTATAACGAGAGGGGTTACTTACATCAGTAAAGTTTGACAAAAATTCTACGTACACATGTATATATCCTTAAAAAATAGTAATATATTAATAGTGGACACCACCCTACGCACAAAATAGATTTTGGTTGAATCCAAAGTATACCCGGCCATCAAATCTTGGTCCGCTTCTCTCGGGTCTCTTTGCCAATGTGTAGTGGCCTTTTGGTCTTCGCTTGTGTTTAAGTAGGCATTTGGACATGAATTCCAAAAAAAAATTCAAATTTGGAATTTCACCAAAATTTGAATTGAGATGAAGTTGTGTTTGGTTATAATATTTGCAACATATTTGGATGTCTTTTTTCTTTCAAAATCATGAAACATGATTTATACCCCACAACTTGTAAAAAATATCCAAAACAACCCCAATTTGATTATCCTACTTGAAATAAACAATCAAAATGCTATTGTTTAACTGTTATCATATTTTGCTTTACTGCAATACACAAAAGATGCAAAATCAGTATCACATTTTCTAATTCTACTAACACACAGAGAAGGTGCAACAGCAGGCATAGGCACATATATTTCTCATACAATATAATCAAACTTTCAGTAGGCACAGTTCAAGTATCAACTAGGACTGATGTTCCACCATCAGTCGCCAAAGATGTATCTGCCAAAGATGAAAATTTGATGTGGTCATTTTATAAGTTTTAAAAATATAGTGTAAATTTGTAAAACTAAAAACTAGCAAATTCTCATTTTCAATTAAAAACTGGTTAGAACCAATTTTTCAAATTTAAAAATGGATTTTCAAGTGAAAAAGGAAAAATTGGTAAGAATGGGATAACCAAACATTGTTTTCAAAAAAAAAAAAAATGAAAAAAAGGAAAAATTTTGTATGTCCAAACGGACTCTAATTTTATTGGACTAAATTCCGAGAAAATTGCCATTTTTGTCCTTAAACTATAATGTACTTCTGATTTTGTCCCTAGTTATTTGTTCATTTTTATTTGGTGAGGACATTAGCAAATTTACTTCATTTATTGTAAAGAGATCTTTTTGCCTTTTATCTACAACTCTACATGTTAGTTTTGTCTTTGTATTATACTTTAGGCATTGTTGGTCAAAGAATGGAAGTTGTAACGTGATGATTTCTCAATCTAGAGGACCTTGTGGGAGAATACTTTAGGCTAGTTGAGAGCATTTTTAAATTAGATGTATATCTTTATAGCATCCTATAATTTGTTTGAAAGCATCTTGGATTATAATATACCAAGCTAAACATAAAAATCTTAAAATTACTAGAATAATTTATATTTAAAACTCCCAGTGCACATGACATCCCTAGACACTATCATGCACCCTTCTCTCCTTCTCTTTTTGGATTTATTTTTGTCTCCCCCCCCCCCCCCCGGCAAAAAAGAAAGAAAGAAAAAGAACCCAAAAAAAAATTGTTTTCTCTGCTTATTTCCTACTCCAAGTTGAGTGTTCAAATTGTCAAAATGTTCGCTCCACATGATAAAAGATGTTCAATGTTATTACATTTTATGATATATTTATTGAAAGTAGGTTCAACTAAATCAGATAGTTGAAAATAAGTGATATTCATGTAAATTGCAAGATTGACCATCACATTCGCTATCAAATAGTGGTCCTTCCGAAGAATTTCGGTAAGAAATATTCTATGCTAGCTAGCAAAACATGATCCCTAGCTCTACTGTTACTAGATTTACCCATAAATTTAAAATACTTCACCATTTGGTATATGTGGTTGATATTCAACAAATACGATTCATTAAATATTTGCTCCCTCATCGTCAAAAATGTTAGGGGGAGATCTTCTCTACAGTATATCATGCTTTTAATATTTATGTTGAATAGAACGAAAGTACATTGAATTAATTTTATCATATTGAATACATAATTGAGTACTTGTATAACTCGCTAAAAGCATGATTAACTAAATAAAAACATTTCATATTAATAGATTAGATTTTTATATTAAACAGTTTATACAATTTTCATTCAGCAGCCTACACCTTTAAAATATGAATTAGCTAGCGTTAATCATATAGATATCCTTAAAATTGTAATTGAAGAATTATTCCTGAAACGTAAACGATATGACCTTATTTTTTTTTTTTGGTAATAAGATATGACCCAAAAAAAAAAGATATGACCTTATTAGAATAGGATAGTGTATAATATTATTTTAGATGAAAAAAATTCAAATAATTGATTCAATTACTTGACTATCTATAATATATTGTAGCATTAAGGTGGTAGGTTAGGAGGTGGGCGGTTAGTCTGATAGTGTTTTGCCTTAAGCTGCTAGTAGCTCCTATGGTGTTCATACTACTTCATTAGGGTTGCAGGTTAGGCTGTAGAAGGCTAGTTTGATAGTGTTTTGTCTTAAGGATGCTACTAGCATTCGTTGTGTCCTTATTACTTCCGTTGTGTCTGTAGTACTGTGCCTGTTACTGCTTATTGTTAT